GAGAGAGAGAGAGAGAGAGAGAGAGAGAGAGAGAGAGAGAGAGAGAGAGAGCGATGGGATGCCAGAAAAAGGGGAGGGAGGACGGGGAGGTGGACGAAGGGAGGTATCGCAACCATCGTTGGTTACCACAAAATGTTGCACCAGTCCACATTAAGGGCAGGGCACACTTGAATTTATGCTAACCGGGCTTTCTCTGTCAATAGGCAGGATACGTTTGGTGTTTTTTTTTTTTTTGAAGGTGTGTATTTTTCCAATCATCCTGATTTGAAGGAGTAACAGAACATGGATAAAAAAAGAAGTTCATGGGTCCTCTAGAATAGAAACCTCACTGAACGAAATAAGCAAGGAGACTGTTCACATAGCAGCGCACATAGCCCCACACATAGCACCACAAGTAGCACCGCACAAAACACAAACATAGTAGTTAGCACGGCACTGCACAGCACCACACATAGCACGGCACATAGCAGCACGCATAGCAGAAAGTCAGCATATGTCGGCCGCAGGGTGTTGTCGTTAACACCCCGCAAGTTTCGGAGGCCCGGGGTACTGGACCTGAAAGGCTGTCACTGCCGGCCAAAACAATTTTTTTCATTTTTTTTTGTTTCGCTGGGGGGTCGGCGCGAAATGGCATGCAGGGCATATTCAGGCTCGGCATGGATAGCTGGGCCAAGTACTGGTGGCTTAAACCGCTAGTAAACGGCCCCAGCCTTGCTGAAAAGAAACTGGTCGCCTAGGAGTTTCTTTAGAAATAAAAAAATCGGTGGCCTGCGTGGCCTACCAGATTCTGATGGGCGCCCGCGGCCGATAGCTGGATGTACTTGTGCTTTAAACCACCAGTAGTTCCGAGGCACTTTTCTCCGGGGCTGGAAAAGCAGTGTGCTCCAGGCTTATCGAAAACAGGCGAACCGGCTTGGGTGTCCTTTTGGCTGGGGCCACCAGCCATTTTGCTCTGGCGGCCAATCCACGAAGCACATAGCAGCAGGCATAGCGGTAGTAACAAGTCAGCAGAGTAGATCGTGAATCTTAAACCGTACTACCGAGGCACTTTGCTCCGGGGCTGAAAAAGCGCTGCACACCATGTGCAAAAGCGCTGCACACCATGCACACAAAAAAAAAGAGAACCGGCGTGGACCTCCTTTTCGCTGGTGCCCCCAGCCATTTTGGTTCAACGGCCAAGCCCCAAAAGTTCAGCAGCACCCAAGCCACAACTCTGAAAAAGTAGCTGGGAAACGTGCTGGTGGTTTAAATTTACTTGTTCAGTCAGAAAAGTGAGGCCCCTGCGCAAGGATGACACGCATAAATCGAGAAAAGTGAATTATAAGAAAAGGAAAAATTGTTGAAATACCGCTAAAAGTTTGGGTATTTTGTCGGATACCCCTAAAATACAGGGGTAAGCTGAAATGCCCCAAACTTTTGCACCTGGCCCCGTCCCCCTCATTGGTGCAGGGGGCCGTGCATTTCTTTTGCCATCTGCAGTGAAATCAGACTCGTCTTCTGCCTTACTCAGCACGCATGAAAACAGATGGCAATCAGACTGGCGCCAGGCGCCCACACAAAGCTCAGAGATATCGAGGCCAAGAACACAGTTCAGATTCAAACTCGCTTCGAATGGCTATGGCGCCTGTGCGCCCTCACAACACCCATCCGACACTGTATTCCCAGCAACTGTTCACATGCACGCTACTCTGGATCTCCCTGGATGTCCCACACACGCTCACACTCTTCACACAACTCACTCACACAGGTACGCTACAGCTTACTGCTATCTGCGGAAGCTATGGCTGCCTTCTACTCCCTGCTACTAGTGGCTATGGCCTCTTCGTCTCCCTCACTGCCCTCTTCTTCCTCGGGCACCTGCAGCTTCCTTGCACAAGTCACTCAGACAGCGCTTCCGCATGGCTCACAGTTTGAATGTATGAATGACTGGACGCTGCCTCTTGATTTATACTTCGCTTGGTCGCTAGTCTGCTCCTTTCCACCGGACCCAAGGTGCACACAGTCCCACATGGTACTTGCTGACTGGACAAAGTGTGACTGGGACTGGGTACCGCTGACTAGAAAAGGTTGGACTACCCACTTGCCCACTTGCCGCTAGCCTAACCTGAGCAATTCTCGAAAGGCCACTTCCGGACCTTCTGGAAGTCTGCAGACTTGGCCTTTCGGGACTGTAGCAGCTACGGCCTTGACCTTTCAGGACTGTAGCAGCTACGACTTCTACACAGCTACAACCCCCACTCGACAGACCTACGGATCTAGACCCGATGACCACACCAACCTACGACAGACAACAGGCGACTACTAAGACACAGGTCATGGGTTCAAACACACAGGGTCGACTTGGTACTGTACACGGGTGAGGGCAAGGTCTAGGGATCGAACCCTGGGATCTGCGTCTGCTACTGCAAAGGTGAAAACCGTTTCAGCAGGGTCCAACGGCCAGAAATACAGGGGCATATGGACAAGTTGCCCAGGGCCCGGTAGGGGTATATGCAAAATATGACAGGTCCAATTGGCAAGTGGGGTAAGTTCCATTACTGTCAGAGGGGCATTTCACCATACCCATGCCCTTTAGGGGTATCTGATGAAATACCGGAACTTGCAGGATACCGGAACTTGCAGGGGCATTTCAGTAATTTTCCCAAAAGAGAATTATATAAAAAATTTCTGTATCTCTGTTAGTAGTACTTAGTACTGTACATATCATTGATTCTATTGACTCTTTAAAACACCAGTTGACCCGAATCTGAGTTGCACTCTTATGGGTTTCCATGGTAAGGCCATGGCGCTTCGGGCCTGGTCTGGCAGTTTACCCGAATCTGAGTCGCGCTCTTATGGGTTTATGCGGTAAGGCCATGGCGCTTCGGGCCTGGTCTGGTAGTTAAAGTGGAGGGGCACTACAAAAAAAAAGAAAAAAAAAAAGAAAAAAAAAACAGTTAGAGGCTCCGGAGCTTTGGTCAACTTAGGTTCATGTGAACTGGTGGTTTACGGAAGTATGAACAAAGACACTGTTCAAATAGCAGCCCACAAAGCAGTGCACACAGCACCACACTTAGCGGGGTGCAACATCACGCATAGCACCACACACAGCACCACACATAGCACCACACACAGCACCACACACAGCACCACACACAGCGCCACACACAGCATCACACAGCACATAGCACATAGCACATGGCAGCATGCATAGCAGCCCACATAGCAGAGCACATAGCAGCATGCATATGAGCACAGAAAGACACTGTTCAAGTAGCAGCCCACAACGCAGTGCACATAGCGCCACACTTAGCGGGGTGCAACATCGCGCATAGCACCACAGACAGCACCGCACAGCACATAGCATCACGCATAGAACATGGCAACATGCATATCAGCACATATAGCAGCATACATATCAGCACAGATTGCAGTGGACATAGCAGCCCGCTGCTAGCACATAGCATCACACATAGCATCACACATAGCATCACACATAGCATCACAGATAGCATCACACATAGCATCACACATAGCATAGCATCACACATAGCACATGGCAGCATACATAGCAGCATGCATAGCAGTGTAAATACCAGCACATATAGCAGCACGGACTCTGTGCACATAGCAGCACCCATGACAGTACACAACATGGATAGCAGCACACATAGCAGAACACATAGCAGCACGCATAGCAGCACACAGAAGCAGAGCTAGCAGCCCACATAGCAGTACACATAGCAGCACACATAGCAGCATGCATAGTAGTGCACATAGCAGCACACATAGCAGTGCACATAGCAGTGCACATAGCAGCATATGCATATCAGGGCATATAGCAGCATGCATCACAGCACACATAGCAGGGCACATAGCAGGGCACATAGCAGGGCACATTGGAGGGCACATAGTACGGCACATGGCAGCACACATAGCAGCAGAGATAGCAGCAGAGATAGCAGTAGAGATCGCAGCGGAGATAGCAGCAGAGATAGCGTCAGAGATAGCAGCAGAGATAGCAGCAGAGATAACAGCAGAGATAGCAGCAGAGATAGCAGCTGAGATGGCAGCAGAGATAGCAGCTCACATAGCAGCATGCATAGCAGCTTAGCACGCATAGCAGCTCAGCACACATAGCAGGGCACATAGGAGCACACATGACGGCCACACATAGCAGCACACAGAGCAGCATACATAACAGCACACATAGCAGCACATAGCAGGGCACACAGTAGCATACAAATCAGCATGCACAGTAGCACACATGTTGAACGATGTACGAACAAAGGCACTGTAGCATACATAGGACCACACATAGCACCACACATAGGACCACACATAGCACTGGACATAGCAGCACACATAGCAGCACTGCATAGCATCGTGCATAGCAGCACACATAGCAGCACACATAGCAGCACACATAGCAGCACACACAGCAGCGTACATAGCAGTCCACATCGCAATGCACGTAGCAGCGCACAGAGCAGCACACAGAGCAGCACACAGAGCAGCATACAGAGCATGATGCATAGCAGGACACATAACTGCACACATAGCAGCACACGTAGTGAATGACGGACAAAGACACTATTTGCATAGCAGCACTTATAGAAGTGCACATAGCAGCGCACATAGCAGTGCACATAGCAGTGAGCATAACAGCGCGCATACCAACACATGGATAGCAGCATGCATAACAACATGCATAGCAGCACACATAGGATCACACACAGCGGCACACACAGCAGCGCACATAGCAGCACACGTAGCAGAGCACATCAGCGCACATAGCAGTGCACATAGCAGAGCACATCAGCGCACATAGCAGTGCACATAGCAGTGCACATAGCAGTGCACATAGCAGTGCACATAGCACCAGACTAAATGCCACACATAGCATTGCACGTAGCACCACACATAGCACACAACACGTCACATAGCACCACACATAGCACACAACACGTCACATAGCATCGCAAATAGCACCTCACATAGCACCGCACATAGTCCTAGACAGCACATAGCACGGGATGTAACACCATAGCATGTCACATTGCACCACGCAGCACCACGCATAGCAGCCCACATAGCACAGCACATAGCAGAGCGCATAGCACCACAGATAGCACATAGCACCACACATGGTCCATAGCACCACCGGACATAGCACCATACATAGCAACACATGTAGCACCACTCATAGCACATAGCACCACACATGGCACATAGCACCGGACATAGCACCACACAGCACAGCACATAGGCCATGCTCTCACAGTTTGGAACTTTGGAATAATAGTGGTGGGGTGTGTACAAACTCCCACTACTCTTCCAACCTTGTTCTGCTTCAATTTTTTGGTGCTGCTACTTTCTATCACTGTCATTCACGGGAATGCATCTCAACAACAATTGCTTTGATCACTACCCCTCTCTCTATCTCGCGTACTGCTTTTTTTCTCTACCGATCTCTACAATACCCGCTTCGCAAATCCTAACCTTGACTGGTGCACACGGCTTCCATTATCCCTCTCTCCATTGCCTATTTGTTTCTTTCCAAACCCCTTTCCCGACGCCGGCGGAGCCGTACTGACCACTCTTGTTTTACATTATCAATCAGCGACTCAGTCTGTCACAGCCCCTGCTTCGCTGTTCTTTTCTCCCTCTCTGCCTATGGTCCACCTGGCAATTCTCTATGAAGAAATCATCAAAGATGTATTCTGATTACACAGTCCTCCACTAGATCCTCTTCTCATACAAATGACAAATGAGCGAAAACCACCTGTCTTCACCCATATCTGGATTCCGGCACTCTACTGATTGTACATAAGTGACATGCTACTGTCTATTTTTCTTTGAAGTTTGAACACTTCTTCTTGCTCATTCTGGCACCTAGTGTGGAATTGGCGGTGCACATTGCAGATTTGAAGATCTCCTCCGGCGGAAGAGAACCGGTTCTCAGAGATTGGCAAAGGTATCTCTGGACTTGTCGACGTGCAGAGCCTGGCGAACTTCTGAAGGACACCAGCAGCAGCCAGATTGGTGAATTGCTCAATTTCCTCTCTGCGCAGCGTGAATAACGATCGAACCTTCTTGTGGAATCGAGTGGCAGCGGAAAGTGTTCTGAGAGGCTATTCTGCAGAGAAACACCTTGCAGACGGGTTGTGCGCCAATGGTGAGAAATCGCGCAGCGGTTGTGGTGCTGGGGGACATTGGTAGGAGCCCCCGAATGCAGTATCATTCCTTGTCCTTGGCGGATCAGGTGTGCACCGCTAACCCCAATGCATCTTCGCTCAGTCATACAGTTGCCGCTTTTACTCGTAGAAGCACTGTATCAGTCTATATGCATATAAAATGTGGTGCAGTGTTGCGTGCATGGCTAATGATGGTCGTGAGTTCTTCTTGCCGATATCTCAAATGGGCTGATCGACGAATTTTGTGAGATAGAGAGTTGATGTGCATGCTTCCTGTGCCGCCCCTTCCATCTTGCCAGGAACCATTCTCTTCTTCCCCCTCTGCATGACAGAGATCCTACCGTCTTCACCTGAATAGAACCCCCGGTCATTATAGCCGTATTTGGAGCAATTTTCAGTCCAGATACAGCTATAATGACCGGGCGTTCTATTCGGGTGAAGACAGTAGTGACAAATAGAAAAAAGCAAAAATTGGAACTGGACATGACTTCTCGTTTCTGGCGAAGGTCAGCTGTTAATCAGTTTATGTGGCATAGTGGAGGTCCTTCTTGGCGCGTGTTATGCCCATGTTAGCAAATGTTGCCACTGCTGGGTAAAGAATAGTGAAACGGTAGAATGTTGGCCAATAAGCATTTTGCTTGGAATGTGCGTATTCATCAGCTTCAGCTTCAGCTACGTGTGTATGTGTGTTTTTATTTTGTATTTGCTAAACCTCCACAAAAAAAAAGGGTGACTATGTCAGACGTTGTCCCAGGAGGCATTTGACTGCCTTTCCCAAAGTTAGCTATACCCTTGAGAAGAGTGGTTGGCTTTAGTCACACCAACTCTGCAATCCTACCAGATTGTGTGTGTGTGTGTGCATGTTTGT